AAATAAAGTCAAACGAACATCAAAAGATCCAAAATTTCAATATTTTTCAAGTGGAAAATTATACCAATCAAACACAATAAATTGACAATTTCCAGTAAAACAAGTTCTAGGCAATTCAATTCTCTGAAATTCATTTTCTTTCCACCCAAATTCCATTCTTGCAATCAAACGGACCCTTAACTATTTTCTTTTTCGTTATCAATTTTGAGAAAATGAGGAAAAACGTTTTTACAAGCATGCATTTAGCGGTATTCCGTGCAGCGTTTCAAGGTAATGCAATCTTTGCCTTGCTATTTTCTCCAACCTGTACAAATACAATCAAATTGATTCACTTATAGCACAATCATTAAGTCTTTCTATAATTCTATCCTTATTAGTCTCTTAACATGCAAACCGTCGCTTATGAAAACAAAGATATGCATTAAATGTAGGACCTTTTGACACCTCTAGTGTAACTTAAGATATACTATTAGTGTGCAACTATGAATCTAGAGAATCTCATAAATTTTGTTCTTTTCAACAATTTCAAAAGACTGGGCATCTGCTTACAGATAAAACACTAAAAATTTAAGAGTAAATTATCTGCCAGTATACTTCCTACTTCTAGTCTAGACTAATTAAGTTTAGTTTTCCACTGCTCTTATTTTTGCAGTAAACTGGTTATTGTTTGACAAAATGTCATCTCCTAGCAAGAGGCGAGATATGGATGTTATGAAACTGTAAGTGTTTCTTGTGTCAGATTCTCCTTCACTGATGTCACTGCATTAGTTATTATTTTTGCTTATAATGAGTATCTATAGTCCAGATTTTGTAACTCAAATATGTTATATTAACTAGAATGATTAACTATACATGTTTCTGGTGACTCTCTAACTGGTTTTACATATTTTCCATGTTTGTGCTGTAGAATGATGAGTGATTACTCAGTGGAGACAATAAATGATGGAATCAGCGAGTTCAATGTGGAATTTCACGGTCCAAAAGAAAGTAATTTTACTGAATCCTTTATATTCAAGTGAATTCTTTAGAGATCACTCGGTCTAGTCATTTATTCATTCAACTTGTGTTTATGTATTTTAGTATTCCTTCTATTTACCCTGTTTCCCACTCTTTTGTTTTTTTCTCTGATTTGAGTTTTGCCTGACTAATTTAATATTTGGACAATAACCAACTACATTTTCGAGGGTATTTGGACAATACATTCATTGAGGGACTTTGTCCATTTTCGAGTAAATGCTTGCAGTGTCTGGTCAAACTGATAGGAGCTATGCTGACTGTAACTATATGCATACTGGAGCTAGTTTTTATACGTCTCAAGCATTTAGAGCATCATAATAGCTTTTGGTGTAGTTAGCTCACTGATTGTTGATCTGTGGTTAAAAGACTTTTTCTGCATGCTACAAAAAATTAGATCTCCTTTTTCCTGAAAGATTTAGTTAGGGAATTTGCGATATTGGAATTCGTCTTTAATCTTGCATTTATACATATTGCCTAAAGAAATTTGAACCTCTTTCTCGTGGGAAGTCTCTTCTATATTTTGGAGAGAGAAATATTTATTGCATGTCATCAATAGACTCTGACATTTGTTTGATGTGCACTTGCTTACAGATCACGAGAACTGGTTAGTTTCTTGCTATTAATCACTCCATTTATGATGAGTAGCTGGGGTCTAGATCATTGTATCTTCATTGGTGATTGACTTTTACATTTTGAAAAATAATTATATATCAGGTTTTAGGGGATTATTTGAATTGAACAATCGTTCCCCTTAAACTTTGCTATAGATTTCAGTCTTAAGAATTCCTTTGCATCTTACCTGAAGTTCTGAAGTGTTTATATAAATGCTGTTGGCGGTTTCTATATATCAGGTTTTAGGGGATTATTTGAATCGACTTGGTAGCCTAAAACTTTGCTATTGATTTTTGTCTTCATAATTCCTTCGCATCTGACCTGAAGTTCTGAATTGTCTTTATAAATGTTTATGGTGGTTTCTGTCTCTTAGGTTTTCACGAAGAAAATGTTCACAATGTCTCTATACATTTTGCCTCTTCTCTATCAGGCTTCCAAAGTTTATTCTTGTTACATTCCTGTTGATTGCAGGCCTCTATGAAGGAGGAATCTGGAAAGTACGGGTTGAATTGCCAGATGCCTATCCTTACAAATCTCCTTCCATTGGGTTTCTTAACAAAATTTTCCACCCAAATGTTGATGAGCTGTAAGTTTTCATATGCTTTTGTTGTCTATTGTTCTTTCTTTAATTTTTTCCACTTGACAGGAAAAAATCCAATATTTATTCTTTTAATATTTCTTGTACACAGAACGTTACAGGTTCCCCTTATTTCCATTAATATTCAAGCTTTTTTCACTTGCTTATCGTGCTTATGATTTGTCATTTTTTGTATTACAGGTCTGGTTCTGTATGCTTGGATGTCATTAACCAGTCATGGAGTCCAATGTTTGGTAAGTTTAAACTGTTCAATAACCAGCAGCCTTTCTTGTCATTAAAATAAGTTGGCAGGTAAATTTGTCGACAATGATTTCTGGAGTCGGAAAAAAATTCTCTCAATAGGACTCACTTAACAGGTTTTGAGTAACCAGTCGTATTGAATAATCAGCATAGGGGCATCTACATACATCTAGAGCATGTTCTGCTTGCAGTATCACTGTATTAGACATCACTGGAGGATACAATGGACAAAATTTATAGTTTCTTTTTCTTTTTTATTGTCTACCTTTCATGCCAAACATATACTAATTATTTTGTTTTCTGATGACATGAATAGCCATATATCATTTTTCACTTTCTCACATCCACTACAGAAGATGGTCTAGATTTAAAATCATTTGGGTCGTAGTTTTCTCTGTTTTCATCAGTTCATGAAAAGGAAGGGTGAAGCTTTCATTTCATTCAACTTGTATTTGTAACCTCTGGATTTCTCGCATAGATGGTGCTGAATGGATTTTAATGTTTCACTGAGCATAAGGATTGTGACGTTGAATGTGATTTCTATTTATGTGTCTATCTTCTTTAAAATCTCGTGTTATCTCATCAAGAGTATGTTTGTATGCAGATCTCTTAAATGTATTCGAGGTCTTCCTCCCTCAGCTTTTACTTTACCCGAATCCATCAGACCCACTGAATGGTGATGCAGCATCCCTGATGATGAAGGATAAGGAACAGTATGAACAAAAAGTTAAAGGTGAACCATTTTCCTTTTGTTTCTTAAATATCTAAGGAGTATTTTAGTGTCAAAATAAGTAACTTATTGTACTTAAATGTTAGGAAAAAGTAAGATATCGAAATATATTTTGAAACAAAAAGTTAATCTAAAGTAACTTTTACTTTTTTCTTTATTCTTTAGCCAAAGACGAGTCCAATTTTGAGGGAAACCTTCATATTAGTAAAGTTGACGTCTTTAATCCATATCCTATCAGTGTTCGATATCGTCAATATTCAGTCCCCTCGACCTCCCTAAAAAATTAAAAATAGAAAACTAAGAATGAGAATTGAAATTTGAAAGTGTTCAATTTGGTTTTTCCTTTTGAGGGGTTGGGAGGGTATTTGTAGATGGATGGTGAGCCATAAGAAGCAGAGTTATATTTCTCACACCTCTTCTTGTGTGGTCCAGAGTTCTGTGAACGTTATGCGAAGAAGGAATGCATTGTCAACGACCCAACAGATGAAAGTGATGAAGAACTGAGCGATGAGGATTTTAGTGATGGACGGACTGATAGTGACGATGATGTTGCAGGACATGCAGATCCATTGGCAAACTGCTGATCCCTAAACCTTGACAGAGTTGTTAACATTAGCTGTTCATTCTTTAATGTTCTCTGTATTATTAAGTTTTACTTGCATGTAATTTAGGAGCAGAAAGGAAAAATTTAGGGACAGGATGTATTATAAATTGAGTGCAAACTGAATTTGTAGTTAATGTGTTATTCATTCTAGTAAGTACAACGATTGGTGAATGCAATTTTGCTTTGGTCGCTTGCTTGCTTGTATTTGGGTCTAGGGGTGGCAAAATGTCCTGCTCCTGCCCTGCTAGGGAGTAGGGGCAGATTGGTCCCCTCCGCTTGCTATTTTTATTTTTGTTCACTTCAAATTGTGCAAGAAATGAGATATATTAATCTCCTCTCCGCATCTGAAAATGAATAATGCTATCTAGTACTAGTTGTGTTGGATCACAGTCTATATAAGCATATTTGATAGATTCAATTAAATAATTCATATGACATTGTATTTAAGTAAATTTATTATTTAATATTATGCAGTTGCCACCTAGACTAATGTTTGACTTAGTGGTGATAAATAACATTACTCTTGAAAAATACCTTGTGAGGTAGGTAGGGAAGGTCATCTTAGACCAACCTCACACCTCCCCCTTCATTATGGCTGTCCGTTGGTCGGTTCGATTCGGTTCTGAAGAGACCCGAACCGACCCAAAACTTTCGGGTATTTAATAAATGGACCCGACATATAATTATGGTACCATTCAGTTTTGGTTCGGGTCGGTTCAGTTCGGGTTGGTTCGGTTCCGTACCATAATTAAATTTTTTAATATTTACACCAACACTACATAAATACAACTAATGACATTTCATTCGTAACTTTTACAAATTAACGTAACCCAATTCAAAAACATATAAATAACTAGCCGTCCAATAAGATTAATTCAATGCATACAAATACCAAAAAGTAGATATTAATATTACAGCAATATTACATAAAGTATATTCATTTGCTTCAAATTAAAATGGGCTAATGGGTTTTAAAAATGATTTGGGTTTTAAAATTAAAATTATGAAATAATCTGATTTATTTAATTAATTTGCTAATTTGTTTAGAAAAAAATAAAATAATTTAATTAATTCAATATAAAAAATAAAAAATTATTTAATTTCAGTTCTTATTCGATTTTTCGATTCTTGGTCTAGACCCGAGACCCGATCCAAATCCATTGATTCTCGATTCGGGTACCCGTTCGGATATTTAATTTATGAAGAACCGCTCGATTCGGTTCGGTTCGGTTCGGTTCGAGACTTTTGGACACCCCTACCCTCCATCCTATTTGGATTTGTGTAAATATACTTACTGACATTTAAATTTGGTTCTAATAAAACTTTTGGTCTTTGTTATATGTACAAGGATTTTGCACATACAATTTGACAGAATGTCACATGTGATAGCTCAAATACAATTAACCAAGAGGGGATAAATTGATTTTTAAAACTTTTTTCTAAAAATTAATCTAAATTTGAGTAAGTAAAGACTATATAGATTATTTCAAATAACAAGCGCAAATAAGAAAGCGAAAAGTAAAAGGATAAAGATGATGCAAACGATATAATTGTGGAGATTTGATCCAAAACAATAATTTACGTCCTCCATTACCAAACTCTCCGGCACGAGTAAGACATTTTCACTATATAGATTGACTTATGGTACAATCCAATATTTACAATGCTTTCGGTAACTTACAAACAAGAAGCACCGATCTTTATACAATATTGAGCTTTATGAGACCTCACCATGACACACACTATTGAGCTTTATGGAACCTCAATATGACCAAGTATAACAAAATGATTTTACAATGAAACTCCTATCTTGATAAATGATACAAACGAATTAAGTACTAAAAGAGGCTAACACTTTAATAAATAACAACAGATGATAGCTCAAGTATTAGAAGAAAATTTTGATGAACATGATAATTAAAAATTAGATTCAATCAATCAAAGTTTTTCAATGAGAAAATGAAGAATAATTAAATGTAATTTAAGTTCAAAAATCTTCTCAAAATATTTTTTTTTTCTTTTAATGAGTGGTAATAATAAATTAAGTACTAATAAAGAGAGAAAAAAAACTTTGATAAATATAACGAGTTTTTAAATTTGATTCAATCAATCAAATTTTTGATACAAAGAAATATAATAATTAGATATAATGTAAGTTGAAAGATTTTTTTTAAAAATATATATATATCTCTTTTATGAATGATAGAAACAAGTTAAGTGTAAAAAGAGAGATGAAAAACTTTGATAAAAATTGTAATTTAAGAAGTTTTGATTTAGCAATTAAAAAATTTTTATATATGAAGAAATAAATGAAATGAATGTAAATATAAGCTCAAAATATTCTCTCAAAATATATCTCACTTAATGTTTTTGAAACTTTGTTTAAAAAATTGAAAGAGTGAAGTGTATTTTTAGAATTCAAAAAACAAAATATTCTGTAGACCCGAACAACCAATCGGACGTCCGCCTTTGGATCCGGAAGACCAAAATAGCCATTTTTGCATATGAAATCTAATGGTCAAAATTCGACCGTTGAATCAACTGGACGTCCGCATAGATGAATCAAATGTTTGCATGCTCATGAATTTATATAGAAAGCTTTTGCAAAACTTTTCGGGGATCCGGACGAGCAACCGACGTCTACATTCTCAAATTGGATGGCCAACCCCCGTTTGATCCGATTTGATTATTTTGACGAATGTAGACTTTTGGAAGGTGTTTTTAATTAGTTTTCAAGATAAATGATGTTTTAAAAATATGATCTAAATTCAAACATCATTTTGAAAATCAATTTTACTTTTGATAAAAAAATATTTTATGCAAGTAATAATCAAAATAGCTTTTAATGCACAAAGCGATCTTTGCACTTTTATCATTCATTGCTAAAGATTAAAGTATTAGTACCTACACATTTGAACTAAGAAATCTAGTTTTTGATTTTGTTTTGAAATTTTGCTCTTAGGCTCTCGGCTTGATCTTTCATTGATGTTTGGCTTTTAACCTCTTGATCTTTCTTTGACGTTTTGTCTTTTAAGATCTTTTGACGACGATCTTTGAAGACTATATGCACTTTAAATTCAATTGTTAGTAAATAAGGTTAACTTTTTTGTTATAATAAAAACTTTAAGGAATAATCAACCATATGTCAACAATATAGAGTTATGTCATTAGATAGTGTGCCAATGCAATGCTGCCAACATTGCTTCTGTAACTTGTACGGACTTTTTTGGTTCACTTTGGCATTTCACGCTTGTCCAGCTATTACTATGTAGCTTTGTCTATATGGAATGGACATCTTATAAGTTAATTTGTTGTAACCTATTATTTATCTTTTTCAATCAATAGTACTGATCTAATTTTTTGTGTTTATGAGCTATTTATAGTGATACAGTAAGTTGGTTCAGATCAATGCAAGTCCAGTTATCATCAGCGAGAGCTGCATGGATGTTTAATCAAAGTATGCACGAAAATTTTCAGAAATTCATTCCCGTGAATTTTCAAAGCTTCTCTCCATGAGTATTGGTGGTGGTAAAACTGATGTATAAATGTCTGCAATTAGGGATGGCAATGGGTCGAGCCGAACTTACCTACACGAGCTCGGCTTGTTCCCCCATGGGCGAGTTCGGCTCGTTTTTTTTTAACACTACTAAATCTAAAATATACATATATATACACATTTTCTAAACATTTTTGAAATATACATTTTCCAAAACATTCTTAAAAAAAAAAAAGATAAACAAACCCTCTTCCTTTATCCGGGTTTGGGACCGACTACTTCAATTTCGAGTAAAAGAAGTTAAAAATTGTACACGAACAACTTGTTATGTGTATAAATTTTTTAAAAAAATTATAAATGTATTAAAATAAAATTTTGTGATGAATATGATTAAATTAAATATGACTTACTTGACTACATGCAATTTCGGTATATTTATCTTGCAGTCGATAATAAGCGTCTTCCCAGTCCTTTACGCACATTAATGCTTTCAAAATATCTTCTTTTAATTGATTCCTGACCTCGGAGAGAACCATCTTCCCTGTACTAAAAGCAGACTCCGAAGTTACAGTGCTAACTGGAGGTGTTAGTAGATCTTTTACCATTGCAGAAATTGCTGGCCACCAGCATTCATACATTCGCCAGAAATCAATTACTTCTTCTGAATTTTTCCTAATTGCATTGTTACCAGGCATATTATGATTAAAATAATCAATTAATTCAGCAGGCAACGTATTTGGATTATTACTCGATGTTTGAGTACATGCAGTAGAAGACAAACTACTACTACTAGAGGAACCACGTGCATGTATGAATCATATCTATATGAGTTCATGCCTTGGAATAAATTTATAACTTCAGCGTCGTCCTCTCCTATATTAGTGGGAAGAGTATTTGTAGAGCTGGAGGGTACACGAGTAATATGTGTACCCATTCATGAAACATATATTTCATACATTTCACATAAAGTTTGTTCCAAATTCCTATAAGTAATATTTACGTTAAAAGTTAAAGCATTTGAAATTTGATCAATAACAAATTTAGTACCCGATAAATTATATCGGGGGTCCATGACACATGCTAACGGAAATAACATGGGCAAGTCTTCTCAATAATTTCTAAATTTTAATTCCATGAAAAATATAACTGAACTAAAATTGAGGCCATCTTTAAATCTATGAAAAGTCCTAACAATTATATACAGACGTTCAAGGACCATACAACTAGTAGGATAATAAACAGCAGACAAAATATTTGTAGAATCATAAAAATTTGTCAAAAATTTTTTAATTTTAAAAACTAAATGTCAATCCTGCTAATTTAAAATAGTATTGTCGTCGTCTCTCATAGGCCTATTGTTATAAAATTCAGTAACTAAATGTTCGAAACTTTCACATGATTTTAATAATAAATATGTGGAGTTCCATCTATATCATACATCACTAAAAAAGGTTCTTGTATGTGACACCCCAATTTCACCACAA